GGGGGGGGAGATGATAGGAAGAAGATAATAATGATGGAACAAAAACGTGATGGAGGATCCGGGAGTAGAATGGGTTGCCTGTAGCCCAGGCGGGCAGGCGCGGTCGCTTTGGTAGTTGGGCTGCCTACCCTAACGGGGTTTGTGTGCGTAGGATGGGTTGCCTACTCTCACGGCACCCTTCTGGACGGCCCACGTCCGCTTCAGTAACCGCCGCGGGGAATCCAGAAAATTCTTTCAAGGATTTACAATCGTTGACCACTTTCTCCTTAAATACCAAATTTGATAGCAATATTGTGAACCTGTCCGAGGCCACATTTAAGCCATCTTTGAAATGCCAAAATTTTAGCACTCATTTTGGAGGTCTCCCCGAGCATTGTTGCGAATGCTTGCGACTGTTGACGTGCACAACTTGTTGAAACAGCCAGCATATTTTCTTAACAAAATTTATTTGACAGCGTAAAACAGTCGGTCACTTACAAACTCCGTCTCATCCCACCAGTCCTCGCAGCGAGCGTACTAGATATAGGAAAAACTGCGAAGAGGAGGGATGTAGACGTCCTATTAACAAATTATATCACAGACGTGAGACCTGCCGCCGCGGGTCACCGGGGGTCTCGCATTACAAAAAGCACAACAAAACCTTTACATCGCTCGGCTACTAAGGCCATCCGAGCAGAGACCCTGCTGACGCCGCTCCACTCGAAATCGTTGCGAAAGGAGAGAAGGACGGATGATGGGTCTCGCATGCCGTCGGGGGCCGCGCAAAAGTCCCGTATAATTCCGTGAGAAACCGGAGGAAAATCGACGGCTCGTGAGGTTATTTTGTTTTTGACAATTATTTGCCGGTTTTCTTTTCCGGCGGCTACAAGAGCAGCACTATTTCTGACAGTTTCGTTATCGTTGAATACATTTGAACTGAACGAGTCACGAATCAGCTCCCAAAGTTTTCGACCGAGGGGCCGTTGGTAGCCCTCGGTAGCCGTGGTTATAAATAAACACCTCGCTGTGGGTTTGGCCCCGCAGCCGTGTACTCCTGGGCAGTGCGACTGGTTGGTGAGGTCAGTCTGGTTCTCCTGGACTGCCTGACGGGCGACCGGGCCGGGCGGGGGAGGGGGTCAGCAGGCCCAAACTCGCGAGTTATCTGGCGCAGTGTCTCTAGCTGGCCGCCAGGGTCGCGGGTGGCGGTGGGGTGGCCGTCGACAGCCCCGGCGTCGGCGTCCCGGACGGCGCGACGCGGACGCTGATGCGGACCTCCTGCTGCGGCAGGCGCACGCAGCGGCCCGAGGCGATGACGTCCTCGCAGGACGCCGTCAGCGGGAACACGGGCAGCAGGCGGAGCTCGGCGTCATCGGCGACGTCGACGTGGAGGGTGCTGGCGGCGGCGGCGACGGCAGCCTCGGCAGCGGGGGCGGCCTCTGGGGCAGCGTCGCCGACGGCGGTCCTCGGCGCGGCCGCGTCCAGCGCCCACAGCCACATGCAGCCGCGCTCGGCGTGCAGGAACACGGTGTCGCCGGCCTTGGTCGTGAGCGCCGTCAGGCTGGAGCGCCGCTCGGGCAGCTCCGGCCGCGGCAGCGAGAGCTCCCGGCCCTCCCGGGGGAAGTACTGCAGCAGCGGCACGTCGTGATCCTGGAGACAGGTGAAGCAGCGCGTTAGTCAGGTCCGCGCCGGCCTAAGAGAGACGGGG